ACCCTGACGGTGGATAAGGGTGCGCCGCCTGGTCTATAGTTTCGTGTTGCTCATGATGGCGCCGGCCAGGAGCCTTGCACCACATCACCCGAGGGTCCTATGGCTGTGACGCGCTTGCCGGTATTTCGAGTGCGTGAGGTGATTTGAAAGTCTACCGAACCGATAGACGGCATCGTCCTGTCGTTGTCGCTGCGCCGCGTAACCTTTGGGAGAGATTTCAACCAGAGGGTCGAAAGGGTCCTCTTGCCTGCATCCGGGATATCGTCTTCGGTAACGCCTTCGACCAGGCAGTGAATGGCGTCCGGTTGCCCGGTCCCCTCCAAAAACTTGTTTTCAGTGATGCTTTTAACCAGCCCGTGGACGAAGCAGTGTGGCTGGTGTCGCTACACGAGCTGGTGTTTGGCTGCTTCTTAATCAGTCGCTTCACGCACGTGTCCTACCCACGTCACTGCGCCGCGAAACTCCGTGGCTTGCATCCGTGGAGGAAAGCATCTTTGGCTACGGGAGTCTCGTGGCTCTCATCCCCTCCCAAAACTGTGTTCGGTCGTCAGTTTTAGCAGCCGGTAGACGAAGCAGTGCGGCCGATGTCGCTAGCCGAGCTATTGTTTCATGAGAAGTTCAACCATTCGCTTTACGGAGTTGTGCTACCCACGAACGTGTGGTGTTTGGGCGTGGCTTCAACCAGAGGGTCGACCGTAACATTTTGTGGACATCGCTGCTGCAACTGGGTTTGGGTTGCTGGTTAAACCAGCCGATCGAAAGCATCTCATGGCCGCTGACACTGGTTGATCTGGATTCGGGCAAGCGTTCAACCAGCCGATTGATGGAAAACCTTGGCCTTAGCTAAGCCAGCTAACTCGGGCGTTCATTTCACCAGCCGATTCACCAGGTCGCCTGGCCACCGTCGCTGGTGCGGTTGGATTTCGGCAACGCGTTCGATCAGCTGATTGGCGATGTTGTGTAGCCGGCGTCGCTGGAAGACCTGGCATTCGGTGGATACGTCGAGACGTTTGACCTACCTACCCACAGCGCCACGTGGTCGAAGTCGCTACAGCACCTCCGCTTGCGTGGATTATCAACCAGCGGATCGACGAATCGTCTCGCCGTCCTCGTTGCGCCACATCACCGTCGGCGATTCATTCAACCAGCCGATCCACAACGTCATCTGGGCGGCCTCGTTGCTCCAGCTTGACCTAGGCAATTCATATAATCAGTCGCTTAGCGAAATCGGGTGACCGGCTTCGCTAGAGCTTGTCGTATTCGGTGATGATGAAAGGGAAATTGATCAGCCCATCCACGATGTGACGTGGTCGACGTCTTTGCGTTGGATCGTTTTCGGAAGGGCTTTCGACCAGCCCATGGACAAGGCCGTTTTGCCGGCGTCGTTGCGGTGACTAACAGTCCTCTCCCATTGCAACAGCGAACTACCAGCATGGAGTGGCGAAGTGGTGGTGATGATGACGGGTACTACATTTCGGTGCACTTGGGTATCCCCGATATGGAGAAGTGGCGTTGATTGGGTCCAGCTGGGGCCACTGCACACTATTGTTGTGGAACGAACACCGGCGCTCGTGTAGTTCCCGGTACTCGAGTATTGAGTGGGCACGGATGGCGGTTGGCTCGTCTCGCGTGTCGCCCGTTTGTTCCTCTGGTACTGGTGTGATCCCCCTCCCAACTTTCTCCGGTGCACTGCGACTGTGAGCAACACCAAGTGCAGCACTGTAGGTGCAGTCTGAGATCCCGTGTGTAGCAGTTCCCTGCGTGTGTGCGGTAGCGAGATGCTTCGCTGATGGTATTCCTTGCTGCGCGGTGCTGTCGAGCCGCTGTTTCCTTCCTTTTTCTGTCATAGAGTGAGTTGCAACGTAGTGTGTACCTTTCGGTCAGCGACCCTACTGCGTTGACAATGTGGTGTCGTAGGGGGGCGAGTTTGGCGCACCGGACGGCGCAAATGGCGGAGAAGGGGAAAAGGAACCCACTCCCTCCTTGATAGTGCGACCAAGGATTGTCAAACAAACAACGTTAAATGTCTCACATCATTGGTGAAATGCACTAACAAAGAAAACGTTCCTGTTGGCTATTGTATGGTCTAGCTCCCTCAGCCTCGGTCACTGTCGGTTCGGATCGAGCGGCAGCAGCAAGTCAACGTCGTCCTCTGAATGAATTGTATAATCTGAGAATCAAGGCTCGTTGTTGAGGTGGTCGCATGTCCACACACACGTTGGATGCCTTTACTGGGGTGCTGAAATTGAAACAGATCGTGCACAACGGCGTTTGCCGTCGGGCAGTCTTTGGCCGACCATGCACCTTCAGCCTGCCACATGTTTATTTCAGCTTGACATCGTGTGATGTTGTTCGGCGGTGTAGGGCGAACCCGACCAATGCTTCATTCAGCAGAACGTGGACGTTCTCTCAGCTATCTCACTCAAATGCCCATGCACTATAACCTGAGATACATCGATGTGTCCTCGGGCGCTGATAAACGTTTTCCGGGCTTTTGCCGCCACAGCCGATCTATGAAGTTTATTGCAATAGTAGAGCTGTCGTTAAAGGTCAAGTTGAGATTGCGTTTTTTCCGGCTGGCTGTGCAAAGAGGTGAGAGATTTGAGGTTGGTGTACATAGTCTACTATAGACGTTGAATCAATCAAACATGGGCTAGGCACATTATTTTACATTCTTTCCGCGGAAAATTCCGCGGGAAGTGCGGAAACTATCGCGGGAAGCGGAAAGTTTCCGCGGAAAGTCTGGAATGACAAAGCAACCGAACCGTAGCTGAGCGAGTGGCTCTGAAGTGGATTTTTTTTGGGATTTTGGCGCTGGGATGCTCAAAAGTTACATTCGAAAGCCGGTTAATGTAATGATGAGCGAGGTGGTGCTGTCCATACAGAACGCTGCGTCATGACGCCATACAGAACCCCCAGAGAGAACCCAGATAGAACCAAGAAAGCTTGATATCCGAAACGATATGTGGGCGGTCCAGTGCCAGTAGCTCCTGACACGGCGCAATGCGTTGCGCCAGACTCTCGGGTCGTACCCGCTACATTCTTCTCGTGCGGGAGCCGGAACACCGGAACACCGATGGGAGAAGGTGTTAAACGTGCATGCTGAAAATATATCGGATGCACACAGAGCAGGACGGGTGAACCGGCAGAAGGTCATGATGTAAAAATAGTAAAAAAAGTAAGAAGGCTCAACTTTCACGAAAAACAAGAAAACAGGGCTAAGAAACTCAGCTCAATCTCGGCCACAACACAAGAAATGTCCCAATAATAAACATGATCGTGCGATATCCTCCAGATAGATATGAGAAACAAGTTGCTGCGGGGGCGTCGGTGTCCAATACGAAACGTCCCACTGATGCTTCTGCTGCCATGCTCCCAGCCCCTACCTGGCTCATGTAATATTTTTTTTAGGGGGGAGCAGAGGCCATTTTCGCGGCGTCCCCCGCGCCCCAGCGCCGCCGCCGGCTGCGCTATTCCCACAAGCCACTGCTGCTGTACTGGTGGTGTGTTGATTTCTTCGCCAGAAATACGAAGACAAGAAACTAAGAGAATCAGCAGGATGCGATAGCCCAAAGGAATGAGAAATCCGTTTCAAGAAATTGGGCTCCGTTTTAAGAAGTTGGGCCGACGTCGGCTTGTCCTTCTGCCCGAAATATAAAATTGAGGCTCGACCCGATTTTGACGTTTCTTCGGGCCCAGTCGGTACCGTGCCCAGCATAAAGATTTCGTCTTGTCAAGCTTACTCCATTTATCTCACTTCCCCATACTAGTGCCTGTTGTGTTGCTCCCTTGTTGCGCGCCCATTGTATACATTGCGTTACTGCTTGGCACCGCTATATATCTATCTGAATCTGTGCTGTAGGGTTCGTATGTGCATTGTTGGTAAACTCGTGGCTTCTGGGGAAAAGATGTTGAATTGACGAGACCTTGGACCAGGAGAACAGGTCAAAAGGTGGAGTGAGCGAGGGTGGAACTAACACCGCAGCACAGCAGCGCCGCAGCACCACCCATGTCGCTAGACCAACGGACAAAAGCAGAACACAATGATATCGGAACACAAAGACTCAACAGACAGGGGCTAACGTACTTCACAACGTACCATGAATCCTCTGACTGATGCACTATCCACAAGAAACACACTCCGGGTAATGCACCATCCACGAAGAACATTCCCATAGAACGTTCCTTGCTGTTCTGATAATATGTGGCTATTCAACGATCTTCAACGCAGACAGTCCCGCGATTCAAACTGTCCAATCAAGTTGTTCTACGTCACTCTGTCGACACACACAGCAGGAACTATCACGAACATGCATTTCTTTCGTCCTTCAACCAAGTCATACCTGCTAGAGTACTGGGCCCGCTATAGTGCCGGTATGTGCCCGGCGATAATATCGGCACTATTGAGGGCACCGGCACTGATCAGAATAGTGCCGATTGGCACATTGAGATTCCGAATATCCCTCAATAGTGCCGAATCGGCACTATTGAGGAGATGTTTGATTTCATGCTGTGGCGCTCATGCGTTGCGGGGCTAACAGAGTACGAAATGGATCAAACTTAGTGAAGGTCTATCGTGGGCGTAGGCATCCTTTCTCGCGACAAGTATGGTTCCCCCCTGTCGCACACACAGAGGGCGAGTTGTAAAAAGTATTTACTTTCATGTTGCACCGTTATTTTCTGCCTGCCTCAGCACATGAACTGTACTGCACACCCTGAACTGTCGAAACTGCTGTTGACGGCAAGATGCTTGTAAAGCTCCCGTTCGTACAGAGTGGACGTAGCTATATCTCAGTCCTAGAGCCCCTCCTTCGAGGTTGCAAGATACAAAAGACAAACCAGAAAATNGACAAGTATGGTTCCCCCCTGTCGCACACACAGAGGGCGAGTTGTAAAAAGTATTTACTTTCATGTTGCACCGTTATTTTCTGCCTGCCTCAGCACATGAACTGTACTGCACACCCTGAACTGTCGAAACTGCTGTTGACGGCAAGATGCTTGTAAAGCTCCCGTTCGTACAGAGTGGACGTAGCTATATCTCAGTCCTAGAGCCCCTCCTTCGAGGTTGCAAGATACAAAAGACAAACCAGAAAATGAAACACGACAGGAAGCGCACTGCAAGAAAACAAAAATCAATACTACTGCACTACAGTTGTATCTCCCCCCCAAACTACGTCGCGACACTGGAGTGTCTGCCTGGCGTACCCGCTTCGATGTTGCAAGAAAAAAAATAAAAACTACAAGTACACGACAGGAAGCGAACCTCAAGAAAAATAAACAACCATGAACTCTACGTCGCGACAAATCCTCTAATGTCTGTCTGGCGCACCCGCCTAGCGGAATGCGCTGCGATCACCGACATATTCGCTTTCGTTAGGTAGAACGCCGCGTTTCCGTTGCCACTGTCCTCTGCTGCCACTTCCAGGGCGCCGAAGTGAGACGACAGTTCTTCATAACCCGGTGGCGCACGTGGGGCACGGCGCTCGCGCCCCGTGTTCTCACCGCCGCCGCCCTGGTCCTGTTCGTCCTCCTCGTCGTCGCCGCCGGTAGACAAGTTCGTTCCAGCCAGCAGTGCTGTCATGTCTTCCACCGCGTCCAATCGAAGAGCCTCTACCACCTCCTCGTTGTCCTCGATGGTAGCCCGCCCCTGAATCGCGGCCACCGCTTCCCCCGCGACTTGCTTTCCGGGTTTGATGTTGAGTTCTGCCAACAGTCGCTGATCTCCTCGTCCACGACGCGGGATCCCTGCTTCTGCGCGTCCTGCACGCTCGTGCGTAACGTGTTGACCGTCTCTGCGAGAGCCTTCAGGTCAGGGTCGGCGACGTTGAACCGGGTCTTCCCGTGTTGCTGGGTGAGCTCAGCCGCCATCTCCTCCGGAAGCTTCTCGGCTTTGACAAAGCACGTGGCCAGGTAGCGCCGAAATTGTGATCCATCCGTGTTTGGGTGGAGACGCGATGATAGACGAACCCAGTGACAAGCAATGACTCATAGGGATGCGATAGAGGGCCTTGTTTTAGCAAAGAAACAAGGAGATTTGCGGTTGCGGGAATATTCAGTCGAAAAATAAAACTTATCCGTACAACCTTACCCACGTAACGTACCACCAAAGCCATGCACACTTAAGTGAGCTACACATTTAAAACAGCGATATCACATGTTCAAACCTCACCTGGCGATGTCTTGGGCGGTGACGCTGGCCCATGCTTTCTGGAGAAGTTCAGCGGCGTCCCGCACGTGAGGTTGGTGCCCTTGCGCTAGCCCCATTGTCCCGGCCTTCATCTTGCGGGCTTTGGCCTGGGTGCGAAGTGTGTCAGCCACCAACATGGTTGATGTCTTCACATCGAGCAGCTCCTTCCTGTAGTTGACCTTCGTCTTGGCGATGACCCCCAAATCCATGGGTTGGTGTACGGCGGTGCACAGCGGAGGCTAGGTCTTGACGGTAACTTGCCCGCGATCATCCACTACATCACTGTGAGACGAACAGCCGTCCATCAGCAGCAGGACAGGTTTGTGAGTGAAGCGCCGAACGAACGGGAGGAAGACTTCAAGCCACCACTTGACGAACTTCGCGGAGTCGGACCACGCGTTGGTCTACGAGAAGAACTTCAGAGGTGAACCCCCGTTCTTGAAGCAGCGGGGTTCCTTTGCCCTCCCGATGATGCCCATGTCAACCTTCGCAGTGCCGTCGGCATTGCAGCACATGATGGCAGACAGTCGGTCCTTGAAGTGCATGCTCTTTGAGCCCCGCGCCGCCTTCCGATCCTCCGATGTGAAAAGGTACGTGCGCCTGGGCATGAGCTTCCACTGGAGGCCTGTCTCGTCGACGTTGAAGATGAAACTAGCCGGGAAAATCTCGCAAAGGGCCCTGATTTCCTCCATGACCTCCTTGATGGCCTCCTTGTCGACGCTACCAGCCTCGCCATGAAGTCTCACGCTCTGGATCTTATTGCGCTTCACGAAGTTCTTCGCCCACCTCTCGCCGGCCTTGAAGTCCTCCACCCTCTCCCTCACTGCTGCAGAAGTTGCGATGTCAGCCAGCAGGGTTGCCCTGGCGGAACGGCCGAAGCTTCGAAGGACATCGCGTGTGACGGGCATCTTGGCCTTGCGGGCTTTGTCGAGTAGATCAAGAGCTATCTCATCCACCTGCCGCCAAAAAACGAGTAAACAACGCAGAGAGTGCAAAAGATCGAACGGATAGTTTTGAACGTAAGCATGCTAACCTACACTGCGCGGCGCGGGCAGGCGGACGAAGCGTACCCTGTTACACTAAGCTCACACGTTCGAGTATTGTTCCCAATTGTGCACTATTATAGTGTGAAGTACACTTGTACAAAAATGCGGCAGGTACAAACAAGAAGCGCTGCCGTATTGTAGTAATTACTGGTTAAAATTGAAAAGAGGGTGTGTGCGAGAGCACAAGGAACGAATGGACGATGAAAGCGGAGACAGAAGAAAAACGAGAAACAAAAAAAAGGAAAGAAAAAAGCCGAAAAAAGACAACCAAAGGAGAAAGAAAGAAAAAAAAAATTGGACATCCAGCAGCGAACGAACCAGGCTCGAAAAAAAAAAGGCCGGCAAAAACAATGGCGGGGGAAATAACCCAACGTCACAGCATTGCATGTAGCGCACCTCCGGAAAATCTCCTTTGCGTGCAGCTTTCTGGCTGCCGCAGCCTGCAGCAGTTGCTATCTCCACCTTCTGCCGGCCAGCCTTCACGGTCCCAATAAACCGAAGCGAGCACGTGAAGCGGTCTGCAATCTGTGCGTGAGACACCTTCTGATCCAGCAACTTCAGAATCTCGAGCTTCTTGTTGTTGTCCAGCCGCGCACGAGAACCCGTTCCTTTCTTGCTTCCCCCGCTCGTCTGCTTCTGGCGTTTAGATGGTCCCGCCCCAGCACCCTTAGCTGGTGTTGCTTTGCGCTTGCTAGTCCTGGCGACACACGTGCTGCAGATGCGGTGCTGCTCGTTGTCCTCAAACACGCTGCCGCAATTGCCGTGGAGCCGCCCGCCACATCCTCCCTTGCAGGGGTGGCCATGAGGGGGTTGCGGCGTCCTGTCGTGTTGAAGGCACAGTTCACCTTCCGCACAAGGCATGGTGCGCCTCTGCGTAGAACTCTTCGGGTCTGCAGCAGTACGTGTACCCTCTGTGTTGCGTGTGTCCGCTGTCTTGTGTTTTTATTATTAGCATCGACCGCGCTTACCGGCTGACCAATTAAAAGATGTGTTGCTATATTGTATGAGTCATCTACCTGCTGACACGATGACTGTTGGATCTTGGGAGTGTACGATTATCAAATTGGGAGATGCAGCATACCACGATATCCTGGCTTCGGCTGGACTTGAAATATCCCTTTTGCTGTCCTCCGCTCTTTGCATCAGTGGCTTCCTAGATTCGAGCGAATGCATTTGTGTAGCTGAGATGTGTGTCTACGTGAAAGAACATGTGGAGAGAGTCGTATTGGCATTCGCATCAAGCGCATTGCGCATTTTTCGAATTTTGGCCCCCTTCCAGGGACCTTGATTTTTACCCGCTGACACTGACGTCTTTCAATTGTTACCGCTGTCTTGTGTGTGTGTGTGTTTTTATTATTTGCATCGACCGCGCTAACCGGCTGACCAATTAAAAGACGTCAGTGCTAGCGGGTAAAATCAAGGTCCCTGGAGGGGGGCCAAAATTC